AGCCTTCCTGCAGGGCAGCCTGCACGAGGAGATCTGGCTGCGCCGCCCGCCTGGCTTCACTGGGTCGTTTCCTGCTGGTACCCAGTGGAGCCTCCGGCGGCCAGTCTACGGTCTCCGCCAGGCACCCCGTGAGTGGCACGACACACTCAGGACGACTCTTGCTTCTCTTGGTTTTGCTCCTTCGACTGCTGACCCTTCTCTGTTTCTACGCACTGACACTACTCTGCCGCCGTTCTACATTCTCGTTTACGTAGACGACCTCGTCTTTGCTACTGCTGACACTGAGGCACTCGCCCACGTGAAGTCCGAGCTGCAGAAGAGACACACGTGTACAGACCTGGGTGAACCGACAAGCTATCTTGGCTTGCGGATCACCCGGGACAGAGCACAGCGCACCATCACCTTGACTCAGTCACACATGGTGCAGCAGGTCCTTCAGCGCTTCGGCTTCACGTACTCCTCGCCACAGTCCACTCCTCTGCCTACCGGTCACTCGCTCTCAGCTCCACCTTCGGACGAGTCCGTAGAGCCGAGTGGCCCATATCCAGAGCTTGTGGGCTGCCTCATGTACCTGATGACTTGCACACGACCTGACCTCGCATACCCTCTCAGCCTTCTGGCTCGCTACGTGGCTCCCGGCAGGCACCGAAAGGTGCACTGGGATGCTGCGAAGAGGGTGTTGCGATACTTGTGCAGTACATCGGGCATGGGGCTTGTGCTTGGAGGACGGGCTCGAGTTGTCCTCACTGGTCACGCTGACGCCTCCTGGGTTGACGACTTGGCTACGCAGCGGTCGTTACAGGGTTACACCTTCAGTCTTGGCTCCGGTTCTGTCTCTTGGCGGTCTACCCGCTCTTCGTCTGCTCTCAACTCCAGTTGTGAGGCTGAGATCTACGCTGGGGCCATGGCTGCACAGGAGCTACGCTGGCTCACCTACCTGCTGACCGACTTGGGAGAGGCGCCTCGTTCTCCTCCAGTTCTGTACGTCGACAACAAGGCCATGCTGGCCTTGTGTCAGGAGCACAGACTGGAGCACAGAATGAAGCACATTGCTCTGCGCTATTTCCTTGCTCGAGAGTTGCAGCAGCGTGGCCAGCTTCGTCTTGCTTACGTGGCCTCTCAGGCCAACACTGCTGATGTTTTCACCAAGGCACTTCAGCCTTGTGATCATCAGCGTTTCTGTACTGTGTTAGGCCTTGTACCTACTGTGCCTCACTTGCTGACTCCTTGACTCTGCTTGTACTGTACTGTATATACATATACCTGCATGCTTATACTTGCTAGGTTGTGTTCACTGTATTGTTTGCTTTCCTTTATATAACTCTGCATGTGAACTGGCCTTGCGGCCCTTTGCTTGTGCTCAGACTGCGTGGTGACTTTGTGATCCACCCTGAGCTTGCTTTGTCTTTCTTGACTGGTCTTGTGACCTCTTGCTCTCCCCCACTTTGCCTATGGGGGTGTGTCAAACTTATATATGCTATAGTCTGTTTAGGCTGTAGTGGGGAAGTTCTTAGAGGGTACAACACTTTTGTGTTTTATACTTGTACCCACCTGCTGCCTAGTTCATTCATTCCTCTCTCGTTATTCTCACAGTACCTACTGTGCCTCACTTGCTTTCTTCTTGACTCTACCTGTACTGTGCTCTTTATACATATACCTGCATGCTTACACTTGCTAGGTTGTGTTCACTGTATTGTTTGTTCTCCTTTATATAACTCTGCATGTGAACTGGCCTTGTGGCCATTTGCTTGTGCTCAGACTGCGTGGTGACTTTGTGATCCACCCTGAGCTTGCTTTGCCTTTCTTGACTGGTCTTGTGACCTCTTGTTCTCCCCCACTTTGCCTATGGGGGTGTGTCAAACTTATATTCTATAGTCTGTTTAGGCTGTAGTGGGGTAGCTCATAGAGGGTACAACACTTTTAGGTTTCCTATATGTACCCACCTGCTTTCTAGTTCAGTCATTCATTCGCTCACATCGCGATACCCCATCCCCCACGCCGACGAACTGATAGATCAACTGCGAACAGCACGAGTCTTTTCGAAAATTGATTTACGAGGAGGTTACCATCAGATTAGGGTCCAACCGTCGGACTGTGCCAAGACATTTAGGACTAGGTACGGGTCATTCGAGTACACAGCGATGCCTTTCGGGCTGACCAACGCACCGGCGACTTCCCAGATGACCATGAACAAGGCGTTTAGACCACTCTTAGATAAATGTGTGATCATCTACCTTGACGACATCCTAGTCTACAGTCGGGATAAGCAGCAGCACTTAGCCGATTTAGAAGCAGTATTTACAGTTTTAGACAAACACAGACTACTGACCAAGGGTTCCAAGTGCGAGTTTTTTCAGGATAGGCTGGAGTTTTTAGGGCACGTTATTTCCGAGGCTGGCGTCGAAATCGACCCAAAGGAACTGGACACGGTAAAAGCATGGCACCCACCCACGAACATCACAGAGGTGCAAAGTTTTTTAGGGTTCGTTAATTACGTGCGCCGGTTCGTCCTCGACATGGCACGCTTAACTGCCCCACTAACGGATTTACTGCGGAAGGGGGTCACTTTTACGTGGGGGGAGAAAGAGCATGTTGCCTTCTCTACCCTGAAAAATGTTCTCTGTTCACCGCCCGTACTGCGCATCGCCGACCCACACCGCCCATTCGAAGTGGTTACCAACGCCAGCGACATCGCCATTGGAGCCGTACTGCTACAGGACTTCGGCAACGATTTACAGCCCATCGCATACGAATCACGAAAGTTGCATCCGCCCGAGAAGAATTACCCGATACACGATCGCGAAATCCTTGCGATCGTGCATGCGTTCAAAGTGTGGCGCTGTTACTTGACCGGCGCCGACGTGACAGTACGGACAGATCACAAATCTCTACAGTACCTCCGCGCGCAACCCCACCTCAACCCACGACAAATCCGCTGGCTCGACTACCTTGAGTCGAATTTTCACTACACGGTCACCTACAAAAAATGGGCATCGAACATCGCCGACGCATTAACCCGGCCCACAGCCCAAATTCACGCCATACTACTCGCCCAGACCAGCCCACTGTGAACAGGCCTATTTACCCACGGCTATCAGACTGACCCATTTTTTACAGGCGAAAACTCGCTGCAATTTGCAGCAGCAAGGGGATTCTATTACGTAAAAGCCGGCACCGATCGCATCTGGGTACCGGGCTACACACTTCTACGGGAATTACTGTTGCAGGAGGCACACGACGGAGTCACCTCATGACATTTCGGAGTAGAAAAAACATGGCAGCAGCTGCAGCGGTACTACTACTGACTCGAAATGTTGACCGACGTGCAACGACACGTGGCATCGTGTCCCACCTGCCAAGTCATGAAATCATCACGGAAGCGGCCGGCAGGACAATTGCAGCCGATACCACCCCCAGAGCGTGCTTGGCAGCAGGTGACGATGGACTTCGTCACGGGGTTACCGGCGGGTGCAAGTGGGAATGACGCGATCCTGGTCGTCGTCGATCGATTGACGAAAATGGCACACTTCGCAGCCTGCAAGAAATCAATCACAGCCGAAGAAACGGCCCGCCTCTTCATCGCAACCATTGTTCGATTACACGGGATACCAGCAGCAATCATCAGCGATCGTGATATGAAATTCACCAGCAATTTCTGGCGGAACCTGTGGCAGCAGTTCGGCACGAGACTACAGTTTAGTTCTTCGTACCACCCCGAGACCGACGGACAGACAGAACGGACAAACCAGACCATTGAACAATTAATCCGAGCCACGTGCGATGACCCCACCACCTGGGAACAGCAACTGCCACTCATCGAATTCGCGTACAACAACTCACCATCCGCCACGACCCAGCAGACACAATTTTCCCTGAACCACGGACAAGACTCGACAGTACCCATGACCCCGAATCTCGACAACCCAGTACCACGTGCGCAACAATTCGCAGAAATATTACAGGCAGCACGAACCAGGGCAGCAGAAGCAACAAAAAAAACCAACGTCATCGCTAAGCGCAACGCCGACCGCCACCGCAGACCCGTCACTTACCAACCCGACGACTTAGTCCTACTCGACACCCAAAACCTCCGCCTGCCCATAACCCCGAAACTCCGCCCCCGATATTGTGGGCCATTTCGCATCAGCCACATGATCACGCCTGTCACCGCCCACCTCCTCCTCCCCGCTGACTGATACGTCAGCCCGTCTTTCCACGTCAGCCTGCTCCGCCCCTACATTCCATCCACCAGCCAACTAGCCCGAAATCCCCCAGCCAGCATGACACGACCACAGACAAAACCAGTCATCACGCCTGAGAAGATTCTGAGCCACCGAGTTCGCGACCCACGAGGAGCACGAAGGGTCGAATTTCTGATCCGCTGGAGAGATCGCACGCCCACCGAGGACAGTTGGGTCCCCTTGGGCAACATCGAAAACCACCCCGTCCTAACCGAGTACCTGCGCAGCCGGAATTTCCGAGATATACACGTGCTCTCGTAAGAGAGGCCTCCTTGGGGGGGGGGGATAGTGTAAGGAAAATCAATTTTCCTTACTTCGCGTCCCTGCCCAGCGCGTACACCACTGTTCCCGCCAACAGCACCCCACAACATTCCGTTACCACTCGCGACACTCGCCTCGACACCATTCCCGCCACTGTTCACGATGCGACCCAACCTCACGGTTCGGTTGGTAACCCGCGCTCCGGACCTCCGCCTCGACAGTTCCCAACCTCGGCACCAGGCCCGTCGCCAGGCCTCTGGATAGGTTTGGAAGCACTCTTAGTCGAAAGGGCAGGTTGCCAAAGCTGGTCTTTCAGTAAGGGTGGGGCAGCCATGTCAGTCTTGTGTATCAGTGTTGGCTGCATTGTTACTCGTGCTCGTCAGTGTACTGTGGACCTCGGTTAGTTGTACCATTTTTTTTTAACCAACGCTTAATGTTTAGGTTGACATGACGTGCAAAGAACAATAAAATATATGACTAGAACTAGAACAACACGACCTACATATGGGATGGTCTGGCCTGGTCCGGTTCCAGCAGAATACTCCTAGCAGGGAGCAGAGCAGCACAAGTCAATACCGAAACTCCTGGGCAGGACGGCGCTTCTTCCTAGCATTGAACACGGCTACCACATTCACCCAGTTCAGACCATCACTGGGCAGGAGAGCTGCAGTCATCAGATCGCCCAGTTTGGCGTCGCCCAGGCAGGTCCGCTTCCACGTCTGGATACGGTTCTGGCAACTGAAGCCACGCTCACACTCCAGCGTGCTGAGGGGGAGCACAGCTACGGCTTGCCACAGCTGCACAAGGTTCGGGTACGCTCCCATGTAGTCAGTTGACTGGAGCATGAGCGAGAGCGACTTGTGGAAGCTCATGTTCCCGTGGTTGGTATCCATGGTGTGGAGAAACAATGGTAGCTCCCTCTCGCACGCCTTGAAGCACACACCTGCCAGGATGGGAGAGCAGAGCAGTGAGAGGGGCGATCGGGGCGTATAGGAGGTGTTTAACAGCACACCAAGGTACACACACACACACAGCAGACAGCACATTGCAGGCATAACCAGGTGGCGTACCAAAGAGGCGGTGGTGAAACATGTGGTCTAGCATGCCCAACCACTCGCGGCACTTCTTCATCCGCTGCGCGTTGTCGTCGGGATAGCACGATGGCCGGAAAAGCTTGGAGCCGGCCAGGTTCTTGAGGTCTTCCAGGCGGAACTCCAGTCGCGCAACGCAGACCCTCGCAAACTCCTGGCACACCGCCTTGCAGGAGTAGTAGTCCCCGCCAGTCTTATGGCCTGGGATCTTGCGCTCGTGAAGCACGAACTCGTGCTCTGCAGCTTCGCCGTTCTGGTCCACGCCTTTGACAGCGACTTCGCGGTGCTCGGGGTTGCCGTGTTTCTTCAGGAACGCGCAGAGCAGGGGTGACTGATCGTTGCCAAAACGATCCTCGTAGTCCACGTAACGCACATCGATCGTCCGGCAAGCGAGTGACACCTCCCCCGCGACCACAGTGATGTCAAACTGTGAGTGGGCGTGGGATGAATAGTTGCTGCCAGAGGTTGATGTACAATGGGTCAGAACGGCGCACAACAACCGGGAACATGGCAGTGAAACAAACGCCTATGTGTACAACCAAAGCACTCCACATGTCACCTGCTGCTTCTGGAACTTGGCGTTGAGCTCGTTGAGCACGGCAAGAATGTCTGCAAGGAAGAAAAGCATGAAGTGGAATTTGAAAGAGGTGACCGTTTCGTATAGCGCGTGCTTGAAATCGTGCAGCAGGACGATTGTCGCCGGCAGAACCTTGGCGAACCGCTTGACTGCCTCTCCTCTAGAGAGCCATCGCACGTCGTGGATCCCCTGCAGCTCCAGGTTGGTTTCGCAGATGTACTCCTGAAGGTGCTCGAATCGCCGGTGCCAGTTGCTCGACCTAGAAAGCTGCTCTGCCACGTTGCGCACCGCTTGGTCTATGATGTTGAACTCCGTCACCTTCTCAGCGGCATCCTTCGCGGCCAACGCCTCCCTGCTCAAGGTAGAACGCAGGATGCCTGAGATTGAAGTGAGTGGGCAGTACATGATCAACACACACCTGCCATAAAGCCAGTAACAATGACGGACTTACCGATGTGCGATGCAGTGGCACGACACGAGATAGGGATTCCGCTGCCGGAGTCGTGCCACAACACCATTGCTGGTGCCCGTCATTACTCTGGCGCCGTCGGTGCTGATTCCAACAATCTTGGACAAGTCAATGCCCACAGCGTCAAGGTGGGTCAGTAGCACGTCGACTAGACTTGCCGCGTCACACTTGTCAACTGTCAGCAGCGTGAGGAACTCGCAGACGCTCGCTCCCTCCTTCATGAAGTGGACGTAGACGATCATGTGCTTGCCGCGCGCCTTGTCAGTACTCTCATCGAGCTGAATGGAGATGTACGGGCTTGCCTCGATCTGCTTCAGTTGCTCTTGCCGCATGTACTTCGCTGCAGCATCTAGCAGCTCCCCGAAACCGTACCTGCATGATACAAGCACAGAGGTTAGCACGTGATCAATCAAGGCAGTTGTAACGGAACAAGTACAACGACACCAAGTACCCCGAAACTTACTCCGAAAAGTAGTTTCCCTTGGAATCCAAGGGAAGGTTCGGGACTCCGAGCTCATCCATGAACTTGATGGTGCCCACGTAGGAGGTGATTGGCGCCTCCGACTTGCAGATGTATACGGTAGTCTTGAGAGCGGTGATGATGTGAAGAGTGCTGCGATCCAACCCCTCGAACTGGCTCAGCAGCGTTTGACGAAGCTTCCGGCTCTCCTTCGACTTCATCTCGGCGTGTGCGTCCTGGTGTGCGGTGGAGCGCTGGTGCGTCCGGATGCTCCCCTTCTGCATGTCACGCCCTCCACTGCCTCCCTTGCCGTAAGCCGTTTTCGCGCCTTCAGCTCCATGTTCCAAGCACGTGCTGCATCTCAAAATGGGGAAGCCAACGTCATCACGAGTTAAAATTAGCCACGGAAACAAAGACTCCCATGAAGTCTTAAATCGCTTATGCGCTTTAGCGAAAGCGATCTCGGGGTAACGGGCCATCTCTTCGACAGTCGACAGGCCGTCTTCTTCCTCCTCGTCATCACTTCCCTCGTCCTCCACTCGTCGAATTGGACGTGCCGCCCGCTTCACAGAGGGCTTCGGTTGTCGCCACCACTGCTTAGCACTGTCACCGCTTGACTCTTTGCGCTTCTTGTTCGCAGAGTCGCCAGCCGCATCGCCTATCTCCGTTTCAGGAGCCGTCGCTTCTGGAGGTGAGGGTTCCGCCGTGGTAGTGCAAACTTCAGGTGAGCGCAGGTCACGCCCTGATTCATCCGCGCGGGTTTCGTCCTCGGTTGAAGCAACTACGGGCTCCGGATCTGATAGCTTCTTAGCGGGGGTTCGTAGAAAGCTGAGGCCCGTTCGCAGGGGTGATTTTTGGAGTTCACGGCGTGCCTCGTCGTCACCATCGGTGGTTTCGTCAGCAGCCATGGCGAGGGCCAGAGGGGTGGTTGCAGGAGCTGGGCCTACGCTAGCTATTGGGAGAGCGTGGTGGTGGGGTGGTGTGCAAACCCTAGACCAGACGAGATAGTGAGGAGGCAGAATTGAGAAATGAGACGAGGAGGACTGGGTTGGGTGCGTGGGAGAGACTGGTCGGTGGGTGGGGGCCTGCTGGGGAGGGAAGAAGAAGCTTCCATGCTGGACACACCTCCTGCACGAAGCAGGTGTGTGTGGCGCTGCGCGGCATTGCCAGCTGGGAAGATTGCAGGTGAGCCAGGTACAGTTGACGAGCCTGTGGCAGTGGCGACGCGAGCCGTCAAGGCGTCGCGCACATCTGCTGACTCAGGCAAAACGCCGCTAATCACGGCAGAATCTCGTCAGTACCCCCCCGCCCCCCCACCCCGCCGCGTGAAATCGCATTAGGGTGGTACGCGACACTAGTCTTTGTCATTAGGGCGAGTACACCAGGCCTGTCTTAAAAATCAGTGTTAACAAAATGAACACTTTTTCGGCTAAGGGTGCCTCATAAAACAAGTTTTAAAAACAAGGGTGATCACCTAAACCCACCCTTATAGTAAGGGCCATAAGGGTGTTTTACCCTGATATCGAGAGGCCTGCCCGTCGCGCACCCCAATTTCCCACGTTACCGTTACCACCGTAGCTTCGCTATATATTCTTCGCTCAAACCTTTCGCTCATTGTATTCTTGTCTCGATAGTGCAATCCTCGCTCGCTCGCTCAATTGCACTCGTAACGCAGTACATGTCACAGGAAACTCGTACATGTCACCATGCTCACAAGTTCTAATTGAATCAATATGGTAATCTTGAACCCACACATCGCTGTAGTGGAGGTTGTGTGATCTCTGAATCCAGCTTCTTTGCAGAAGGGCAAGCCTGTCACCTTCAACCATATCCAGATGCAAAGCCTTCTGGTTTTTGTGTGGACCATTATTGAAACTTCTTAAGACCACAATACTGCAAGAAAATGGTCACTAATACTGGAGCCACATTGGACAGAAAAATCGCATCTTTAACACTTGACCTCCTTCAAACCATCCTTGAAATAGATGAAGGTGGGGTTGGCAGCACCATCCTTGTAGTAAGCATAGGCGATTGAACCTTCCGAGTTCATGCTGTCACCAACGAAGCTGCAAAGGACAAATAAGCAATGCATTAGAGAGTGGAGGGGAATAAGTCAAGAGGCCACGATAAGGGGAAATGGTGAGGGGAAAGAGGGAAAAGGGAAGAGACGAGGAAGTCAGAGAAGTTTCAGAGTGAAAACGTACAACTGCAGGTCAGCGAGCTTGGACATGAGCCACTTGCACGCAGCGGGCGAGTTCGCCCTGAACTGCGCTACCCTGTCAGCCGGCATCAGGCCGGCGAGCTTCTGGGCGTAAACCTTCAGGTAAGCCGCGAACGCCTTCTTGTCGAACGGTGGTTGCTCCTGCAGTTGAGAAAGCATCGAGGTGCGGATGCAACGGATGGGGTCAGCTACCAAATGTTTGAATTGACGAAGTGACGATGTCAAGTACGCGACAGCTTAACCGTGATGGAGTAACCCTCAATGATTAACCCTAAATCCGTTGAATTGTCAACTGGTCCTGTTGACGTGCCTGTAGCCTGAAGGTGTCGACAATATCCACAACCTTCTCGGCCTGATCCTCCACAGCCTCCTCCTCGCCACCCTCAGCAGAGGGGTTGGCTCCGATGTCCACCTCAATACCTCCCTTCACCACCCACTGCACAATCATCCAGACAACGACAACAAGTTAGCGACACGCGTCCGGTGGGTGCTGTCAATTCAATGTGTGACAATCAAGCAAGTTGAGTTTTGAGTCAACTCAAACGACGACAACGAGTTACACGCGTCCAGTGGGTGCTGTAAAAGAGCATAAATTTTATTCAGATCGCACCTTCCCCTCGACTTCATAAAAGATGCCATTTTGGATCTCCGTGGCCTCAAAAGAATCGGACAGCAGCTCGTCACCTAATAATTCGGCGCATTACACATTGAGGAAAACCGAATCGTCAGATCATGAAAAAACCCGCATATCTATGGAAACCCGACAACCGACATAAGAGACGTACCAGTGATCAGATCCTGATAGACCAACATGGCTGCTGACGGAAGTGCGAGTAAAGAAGGTGGGTTCTAAGGAAGACGGAAGGTGCTAGGTGCTGAAAGCCCTAAGCCGCTGCAGGCAGAGAGTGTAAAGGGTGGGTAATATGGCGGTTGGGCCTATATCAACCCTAGGCGAGCAATGCCAGACCAGACACAGAAATGGCCGAGCTGAACAATTGGCCAGCAGGGAAAGCATATTCCTGTTACACCGTTGGACAGTGTAATGTCTACAGCAAAAGTACAGTCTACCTTATGATGTGCAAATAGAATGAGGTGAATGCATGTGTAACTTGCTGCGATCAGAAGATGATCGACCCTAGGATCACCTCAGGAAAGTTCCACACAGTTGATTGGTAGTGGTGGGCCCTTGACCTCAAAATAGAGTGAATGTAAAATGTTTGAGATGATAAAAACAAGCAAGTAGAGGCATATAAGTATGAGTACAGTTGGAATACGAATCGACCTAGCTAGCCATGTACTCCAAGGGGTACATTCCCTTATTCAAACGCAGACCCAACCGTGCAGTGCGTACAGTTACAAAACTGTTCCCACCAATTTCCTCGCTCTCTGCAGCTGCCTGATGCCGTCTGCTCCGACGGTCCAGATCCATTCCAACTATCTGCGTTGCTTCGAGTCAACTCTGACTCTTCGTGATCGTCCTCGATACTGTGTGTTTCACTGCTGATGTTAGGAGTGCACAATTCTCATTTCATTATTCGTAACACCCCCCTTCACTCCTGGCCGTAGCTCGACTTGACCTGCTTGACTACTCCGCTGAGTTCGAAGCAGTGCTGGTGCTGCTGACGTGGCAGTCGCTTCGTCAAGAAGTCAGCTGCCATGTCTCCTGTCGTACAGTAGGTAAAGTCCACCTTCCCTTTATCCACTTCGTCTTTGACGAAGAAGTACCGCAGCGCGATGTGCTTGGTGCGGTTGACAAATCCAGGTTTGTTCGCGATGCAGATTGCGCTTTGGTTGTCGTAGTGCAGGGAAAGGTTTGCGAAACTGGGATTTGCGCCTCTTGCAGGAGTTCCTGCGAATAGAGACATCTCTAACTGCTGCTGTTGCGGCGATGAATTCAGCTTCGGCCGATGACAGGGCAACCAGCTCCTGCTTCTGCGAGTTCCATGAAATTGGTCCTGTTGGCTTGAGGCGAAACAAGAAACCAGTTCTGTACCGTCGATTGTCGGGGTCTGCTGCGTGATCAGTGCCCACGTAGCCGATGAGGTTGAAGGATGAGGTTGGTACTGTTTAGTAGCAGAGCCCAATTTTGGGCATGGAAATGAAGAACTGTAGGGCGCACTGCAGATCCAGAAGGTTCTCAGCCGTTGGTTTGCGAGAGTACTGAGCCAGTTGGCTCGCGATGTAGGAAAGATCGGGCCTGCAGGTGACAGAGGCGAAGAGCAGACATCCTAGCTGCTGCTGGTAATTCTGGATTCCAGCAGGGGATAGGGCTTGGTTTTCGGGTTTGTGGTTCGGTCCGGGAGTGCGGTAAGGAGTGGAGAGCGGTGCAGGCGGAATGTTGAAGTGTTTTCCAAGCTCTTCTGCGTACTTAGTTGCTAAGAGGTGAATGGCTTCTGGCGCGTAGGAGACATTGAGTCCTAAAAACTGCTTCACGTCGTAGTTGCAGGTTATGTCGACTTAGTCGTCCGTCGCGGCGCCCCGGGGGCCCACGCGCGTCGCCCCCCTCCCGTCGCCTGTCGTGGCGCCCTCGGGGGCCCGCGCGCGGCCCCCTCCTGTCGCCTGTCGTGGCGCCCTCAGGGGCCCGCACGCGGCCCCCTCCCGTCGCCCATCGTGGCGCCCTCGGGGGCCCGCGCGGCCCCCACCCCTGGCGCCCGTCAAGGCGCCCTCGGGGGGTCCGCGCGCTACCCCTCATGCAGCCCGCGAGCCGCCTCTGCAACCCCCGTACCGCCCCTGTGTCCCGCTCCCGCCCCGTGCTGCCTGTTTTAGGGTTTGGGGGTGGCGCGTATGGGGGTGATGGGTGTGTGCGGCCTCCCCTGCTCCTCCTCCTCCTCCGTCTCCCACTGCTGCAGCTGCCGCTGAGGGGGGTGGATATGTGGGAGCCGTCGGAGTGGTACTAAGGGGGTGGCGTGTGAGCAGTGCTAGAGGTGCAGCAGGGGGTGTGTGAAAGGGGGGTGGGACAGTTTGGGGAGGTTGGGCGGAGGCAGCCGTTGTGTCGCCAGCAGCGCCAGTAGTCCGAAGGCTACAATCTCCGGTAGCCCAGCGAGCCTGCTGCGCCAGTCGCCCGTGGGTCCGTTGCTCCTGCCGCTCAGAGTTAGCCGCGGAGCCAGTTACTCCAGTAGTCCGGAGGCTACAATCTCCGGTAGCCATAGTGTGCGCCGCTCCTGTTGCCTGTGTATCTGCAGCTTCACCCGTCGTCTCCTATCTCCACTCCTCTCACAGTCCCTCCTCCTCCTCACTTACCGTCTGTGACTGCCTCTAGCTTCGCTTATATTTGTGAACTATAAAGTGCTGCTTGTTATGCTGATCATACCCCACTTTGACTATGGGGGTGTGTCAGAATGTTATGTTTCTCTAGTATGCAGTGGGGTACTCTATAGTGAGTACAGCCCTGTTAGGGTTTGCTATATGTATCCCAATGTTTGCTAGTGAATCCCCTCTTCTCTATTTCATTCATCCGGTCAATATTCTAACAGCGCCCGCCCAGGTTCCTCTCGAATTGCTCGAACAGTTCGTTGCTCGACCCTGTGTAGAGCAAATCGTTGACGTATATGGTGAGCAAAATGTAATCTCCGCGAAAATCGCGACGATACATTCCAGGGTCATGAGGCATCTGCTTGAAGCCTATCTCGAGCAAAATGTTGTGCAGGTACAGTTGCCAGAGCCTTGGCGCCTGCTTGATCCCGTAGTGACTTTCGTAGCTGACACACGCGCGAGTCTCCTTCGCCGTACGTGTGTGGCTTTGCCACGTAGATTACGCCATCTACTAACGCGTATAGAAACGCGTTCTTCACGTCGATTTGGCGCAGCGGCAGGTGCCTTGCGGCTGCGATGGCAAGCAGAATTCTCACGGAGGTGTGATGGCTAACTGGCGCAAATGTTTGATCGAATTCAATCCCGTGCCTCTGATCATAGCCACGCACCACCCAGCGTGCTTTAAACCGTTCGATCATGCCGTCTGCCGCGGACTTCACGCGAAAAACCCATTTGCCGGAGAGAATCCTTGCTCCTTTGTTTGCGGCGCGGTCGACGAGTACCCAAGTGTCGCGAGACTCGAGCGCCTTGATTTCCGCATCCATCGCCTCGCGCCATTCCTTGATGTGCGGTCCCGTGAGGGATTGGCGCGGATTTTTCGTCTCGATGACACGTGGCGCCGTTGAGGTGGCGGTGTGAAGCCAAGGAGCTGCAGTCTAGAGACGGTACTGTCGTGGCGATGCTGCGGGATGACCTCCTGCACGTCATCGTCGTCACTCTCTGGTTCAGGTGGTGCTGGTGGTGCTGCGCCTCTTCCGCTTCCTCTTGCTCCGCCGACTCCTCCTCCAGGGAAATCGTCATCGTCATCATCGCTGCTGTGGTGATCGCCCCTTGTGAATTCGCCTTTGGTGTCTTGCTCCAGGATTGTTGCAGCGGCTTCGTCTTCAGGCGTTGCGTAGCTGTGCCCGTCATTGGCATAGACGCGGTTCGCATTCGTACGCTTGTCGTCGCGGAATTGCTCGAGGAAGAGCCGCTCGTAGAAGATGATGTCACGCGCGTGAGTGGTCATCTGGCTCAGGAGGTCCAGGATGAGCCACGCCTTGTGTTCATGGCTGATGCCGAGGTGAATTCCCCAGCGCGCGCGGCTAGCAAACTTCCTGATAGTTGATGTTGGCGGCCGGTACTGCACCATGCACCCCCACACGCGGAGCATGGATGTGTCGCCGTTGGTCCCTGTCCATTTCACATGCGGGGACAGATTGCCAGTGATGGCGGTGGTTGACAGCAGGTTGTGCACTCGCACGGTATGGTGCATCGCGTGGGTCCAGTAGATTTGCGAAAGCTTCGATTGCTTCATCAACGCTCGCACCTTTGTCATGAGCGTGCGATTCGTGCGTTCAGCTACGCCTTGCTGCTAGTGCGCGTAGGGAAGGGAGATGTGATGTTCGATTCTTTTCTGCGCCAGGCAATCCTGCAACTCCTTGCTCCTGAAATCAGCTGCGCCGTTTGACTGCCTGACTTTTAGCTTCTCCCCAGATTGCCGCTGCGTGTGCGCAAACCAGAGGCGGAATACTTCGTACGCTCTACTGCGCGCCTCCACGTTCACGATCCAAACAAAACGTGTTCCAGCATCGACGAAGGTGAGCGTGTACAGTTCGTCGTTGACTCCGCAATGTCCCACGTTGAGGAACTCACTATACACCTTCTCCAGGTTGGTTCCAGCCTCTAGCAGGGGGGACGGTTGGTGGCTCAGCGCAACTTCAAGGAAGATGGTGCAATTGTGCGGATGTGTCGCGCCTCTTACTTCGGTGCCATCAGGGCGCATGAGTGCGCCAGGTGCGAATACGCCAGCTTTGATGCAGTTTTTTAGCGTTACGCGCGAGGGGTGTCTGAGGCGTTGGTGCCAGAGGGCATCGTCTGTGCGGAAACCAGAGGTACGCATGTAGCGTGCGCAAAATGATTCGAGATCTTCTTCCT